TCATAGATCATAGGCCCACCATCTCTAGCCTCTGCGCCACCACTCCCTTCACAATCGTGAAGTTTACATACACTATTTAAAAACACATAAGCATTTTTTTCACTGTCTGACGTGAAATCAGAATGAACTTTTCCCGTTTTAGGTCAATTAGAATTACCAGTAGAGCGGTCAGCTGTACCCGTTCAGCTCCCTGGTACAATGACGAGCTGGACGTGCCCTTGAGCGTGGACACATCAGCTCTGGACTCACTGTTCATATCAGGCCTATCGGGAGCACGAGACGGGGCCTTTTGCTCTGCTGCTCCTCGTCTGTGGAACAATCTCCCCGACCATCTAAAGATACCCCCGACTACAGAAAGTTTTAAGAAAGGACTGAAGACCTTTTAATTTAAACAATTTAAAAGTATTTGAATCCTGCAGTTTTCATTTATTTATTTTATTTAGTTTTTTAGCTTTTAACATTTTTTAGTCCTTTTTTAGTCCAAATTTTATTCTCTTTAGATATTTTATATTGTGGCACTTTGAGATTGTAAAACGTAAAGTGCAGTACAAATTGAATAAATTATTATTATTATTACCAATTTTTCTATTTGCAAAATGTCAGAATAATGTGAGAATTTTTTAAGGTGATTTTTATGTCTTTCTTCAAAGTCAAAAGTTTAAATACACTTCATTAGTATTTGGTAGTATGACTTGGGTCAAGCGTTTTGGGTCTCCTTCCACAAGCTTCTCACAATAGTTGGCAGGAATTTTGGCCCATTCCTGACAGAACTGGTGGAACTGGGCCATGTTTGGAGGCTGCCTTGCTCACAGAGCTTTTCAGCTTTGCCCATAAATTTTCGATAGGATTGAGATCAGGGCTTTGTGATGTCCGCTCCAAAACACTGACTTCGTTCCCTTTGAGCCACTTTGTAACCAGTTTGGCAGGATGCTTCGGGTCATTGTCCATTTGGAAGACCCATTTGCGTCCAAGCTCCAACTTCCTGGCTGATGTCTTGAGATGTTGCTTCAGTATTTCCACATAACGTTCTCGTGATGCCATCTATTTTATGAAGCGCACCAGTCCCTCCTGCAGCAAAACAACCCCACAACATAATGCTGCCACCCCCGTGTTTCACAGTCAGGATGGTGTTCTCAGGCTTTTTCCTCCAAACGTAACGATAGTCATTATGGCCAAACTGTTCCATTTTAGTTTTTTCTGACCACAGGACATGTCTCCAGAAATTAAGGTCTTTGTCCCTGTGTGCATTGCAAACATGAATCTGGCTTTTCTATTTTGTTTTGAAGTAATGGGTTCTTCCTGGCAGCGTGGCCTTTCAGTTCATGTCGATACAGTTTCTCTGTGGGTAATGACTCCTACCAGCTTCAGCCAGCATCTTCACCAGGTTTTTTTACTTTTGTTCTTGGGTTGATCTGCACATTTTGGACCAAAGCACGTTCATCTCTGGGACACAGAAGCCATCTCCTTCCTGAGCGGTATGATGGCTGGACAGTCCCATCTTGTTTGTACTCGGGTATAATTGTTTGTACAGATGAACGAGGCACCTTCAGGCATCTGGAAATTACACCCAAGGATGAACCAGACTGTGAAAGTCCACAAGTTCTTCCTGATATGTTGGATGATTTCTTTATTTCCCAGGATGTTACACAAGGAAGCGATGCGTTTCACGTGTTCCTTAAATTACATACACAGGTGTGTCTCTAGTTAACTCAGATGTTGTCAATAAACCTATCAGAAGCTTCCAAAGACATGGCATCAAATGTCCCAAATTGTTTAAAGGCATAGTGTATTTAAACTTTTGACTTTGAAGAAAGTCATAAAAATTGCCTTAAAAAATTCTCACTCTCATTATTCCGGAATTTTGCAAATATATAAAAAAAATTGTACTCTTAATTGACCTAAAACGGGAAAAATTTATTCTGATTTCACATCAGACAGTGTGAAAAAAAAAAAAAAAAAAAATTTAATATGTATCTTTTTTAAATAGTGTATGTAAACTTTT